TCCCTGTTGTGTGCTTGTGCAGATATACTTCATATGCAGACACACATTTACATCAAATTCATATTAAGTGCAACATGTTGCGGTGAGTCATATGGCCAGAAATAGAGTCTTGATGTCGCTGGTGTCAGTGGGGCCATTCGCTATGGAAATGAAACATTTAATCCTGATCATTTATGATGAGAAACAAACAGGCTTGAAATGTGACATCTCTCCTATAGAAAAAGGGAAATTGGTTGAATTCGACTTTTAACGGAGTGGAATCAGAAGGATGTGGGAACAGTTCAGTCCCATTATAATACAAAATCAAACAGGTTTCTTTTCGCCCTTTAAAGTAAAAATTAGGTTCTAAGTAATGATCTGAGCTGGGTAGTAACGGATTACATGTAATCTGGATTATGTAATCAGATTCCAAAAATTAAGTACTTTACGTTTAAGTACTTTTTACTTTTTTATTGATTACGTACATGATTACATGTTATTTACACAATAGTGATCAATTATGTACAATTTGTTAATCCTCCCTAATTCCTCTTTTTCATCTTTTAAATGTTCCTTTCTAAAACAGCTGCATATACACTCAGAAAGTCTTCAGTTTTGTAGAAATTTACACAGAGATCAGTCATTCGTCAGGTGGTTACACAGTATTTAACCACTGGATTCACAAATTTAATTTCAGTTTTAAGAAGTGTTTCAACATTGCATCAACTACTGATGAACACATTCATTTTTTACGTGAATTATCACTCAGTTGGTTATTTGACCATGTATTTCTATGTTTTTGGATTCGTTTGTCTTTCAAACACAAATGCACAAATTCACGTTATTCCTTTTTTTCTTTACATGTAATGCAGGCATTCCCAAACTTTTTTCTTTTCCACATTTTTATGATTTAATTAATTATTAGCTGTTAAACTCACAACCCCCCTGCAGTTCCTTTACAAACACCAGTTTTGGAAACCTTGACGTAATGTAATGTTCACTGATGTTGATAACAACAACTGGAATATATTTGTGACCCTCTCTATGAAATCTAGGCTAAAGTCTCAAAATCTAATTATGAGATAACAAGCATCAAAGTTTGATTTTAACCATTAATTTCATTATGATTTCAATCTTTGACATATTCTTACTCAGTCAATATTAAAGATATCAAGGTTACATTTTCACAGGATGTTCTTTACCTTATGAAGGATGATTTTATGTAGAAAACAGTAAATCATAAATTTTTTTTTAAAAAAAAGCATTAGCTGGATTTTCACAGCCAGGGTCACATTTTCTTACTATTTGTGTTTTTATACCAATATGGTATAAGATTATCCTATTTAAATCAATGTGATACACGAGTTAGGTCAAAAGTAATCTAAAAGTAATCTAAAAGTAGTCTGATTATATTACTTAAAATGTGTAATGTAATTGATTACGTTACTAACTACAATTTTTGTTATGTAATTTGGAATCAGTAATGGACTACAATTTGTAAGTAATCTATCCAGCTCTGAATCTTGCGTGCTGCATTTCTGGTGCAAAACAAGCGGTACAAAGACACACATGTATAAGAACCTAACCTTCCGCCTGTTATCTTATAATGCCGAGGGACAATCGCCATGGTAACGGTTTACATGCTATCCCCTGTTGTCAAGGAGATGTCGTCTGACAGGATAATGGGTTCCACTGTCCTTTCTGCCTCTCGTTACAATTCATCACAAGAGCGCATGCATGCAAACACATATTAAGGAAATTTGTCAGCAAATGGCCTCGCTATTTACTGTATCAGTTTATTAACGTGTGTGTTTCCTGATAAACACCTAAAAAAAGAACTTTGATTCACCTCTAGCGTAATCTGTGTGCAAATAACCTCGCATTTTCTTTGTGCCTTCCTGTAACGATGAAGAAAGGAAAGTCATTAGAAGAGAAAACCCGGCTTATGTGCTCTCATGCTCTGTTTTATATCAATTACAAATCATTACATTTACAAATCATTTGTGTCACCCTTTGAATGTTGTTGCTGGCCCTGTGGTGCCCACGATAAATGCGTCGGAGTGCCTTGTCATTGGCACAGATAATTAAAGCCCCCTTCAGCACGTCTTTATTTGAATATAATGGCTTTTTTTGCTAATGAGGGGCGCAATTATATCTGCACTGGCATAATCTTCATAATCAGATGCTCTGTTATGCATGAATCAGAAGAGCTTTGAAACAGAACAGAATCTCAAAAATTACCTCCATCGCCGCAAACCTCCTACGCAACACCACTAGGAGTTGGAGAAGAGTTCAGGAGAGGCTTACATAAAATAATGTTTCTGAAGGACATTCGGTCAGACCATTAAACTTTTAACCTGGTGAACCAGGCCTAGTTGAACTTCCAGCACAGAAAGAGAAAATGGGTCAACATAATACAGCTCGGACTTCTGAATTGCTCTCATAATTTATAACTTGGGTCACGCTGTACTGTACAGTACAATAATCATACACGTGTGTATTTACATAAGTAAATGCTGAGTAATATGAATGAACATGATGTCCTGAGTGTTTAATTGTTTTGCAGAGTTGCTCGTAATTGCGCATTGTTGTTGTTATGACTGTAATAATTAATTACAGTATTGTGATGAGTAACATGGACAAAGTAAAGTTTCACTATTTGCTTTCACCCATAAGAAGCTGATGAATGTAGCACAAGAGAAAGAATCTTTGGCCTATCTGAGCGCTGTCCTTCAGCACCCACATCGATTCAACGGTTATGAGAAATATCATAATAAGCATGTTTCATAGACACAAAAAGTAAAAAAAAATCCTCTATTGGTGCAGAATGTTTAACTTTAGAATATACAGAAAAAGAAAATGTCTTCTTTCCTAAAAAAATCATGAGCTAGTTACTCTGATTTGGAACATGCTATTAGTTAAAGGATTAGTTCACTTCCAGAATAAAATTTCTTGATAATTTGCTCACCCCCATGTCATCCAAGATGTTCAAGTCTTTAAGACCCTTATTCCTTGGCTGGGATTGTGTAGAGCCCTTTGAAGCTGCACTGAAACCAGTAGTAGTAGTAGTAGTAGTAGAAGTAGTGTCTTGTACATGGGGCTTTATTATGGTTAAACCAACCAAATATATAAATAACATATAGTTTAAGTCATATAACAACATTATTTATTTATTTATTTTGCATATATTCCAAGCGTTGGAAATGTTTTATTGCTTACAGTCATGCCAAAAAACTATTTGAATCAAATGTATATAATATTTAATTTTTAAATGACAAATTTTCTTCCATATAATATTTCAGAAAATGCCAACACATTTAGGCTAGACACAATCTAAAAGTGACTCAGCAGGTCTTTAGGAACTTCCACACCTCTTGTTGCGTCATCTGACGTCATTCAGCATGGCTAGGGACATTGAAGTGTAATTATAAATGATTAATAACATATCCATATTATGTAATGGGCAGGTTGCGTATCTGAGTACATGTGCTGCAAATTTGGGATGACTCGCAGAGAGGATTTGTTCCAGGTAGAATTGACACGTGTCTTACTGAGAGCTTTCGAGGTATAATCAAATGCCAGAAATGTCACTGTGAAGTGTTTTGGTTTGTGATGGACCACTGATAAAGTTTTATACTTTCATTTTTGTGTGTATATTTTGTATTTTGTATTTTTTTGAGACAGTGGCTTTAATTATACATACATGTAAAACATATATAAAAATATATATTTGAATTATATAACCAATCAATCAATCAATCAATACGTTACTAACTACAATTTTTGTTATGTAATTTGGAATCAGTAATGGACTACAATTTGTAAGTAATCTATCCAGCTCTGAATCTTGCGTGCTGCATTTCTGGTGCAAAACAAGCGGTACAAAGACACACATGTATAAGAACCTAACCTTCCGCCTGTTATCTTATAATGCCGAGGGACAATCGCCATGGTAACGGTTTACATGCTATCCCCTGTTGTCAAGGAGATGTCGTCTGACAGGATAATGGGTTCCACTGTCCTTTCTGCCTCTCGTTACAATTCATCACAAGAGCGCATGCATGCAAACACATATTAAGGAAATTTGTCAGCAAATGACCTCGCTATTTACTGTATCAGTTTATTAACGTGTGTGTTTCCTGATAAACACCTAAAAAAAGAACTTTGATTCACCTCTAGCGTAATCTGTGTGCAAATAACCTCGCATTTTCTTTGTGCCTTCCTGTAACGATGAAGAAAGGAAAGTCATTAGAAGAGAAAACCCGGCTTATGTGCTCTCATGCTCTGTTTTATATCAATTACAAATCATTACATTTACAAATCATTTGTGTCACCCTTTGAATGTTGTTGCTGGCCCTGTGGTGCCCACGATAAATGCGTCGGAGTGCCTTGTCATTGGCACAGATAATTAAAGCCCCCTTCAGCACGTCTTTATTTGAATATAATGGCTTTTTTTGCTAATGAGGGGCGCAATTATATCTGCACTGGCATAATCTTCATAATCAGATGCTCTGTTATGCATGAATCAGAAGAGCTTTGAAACAGAACAGAATCTCAAAAATTACCTCCATCGCCGCAAACCTCCTACGCAACACCACTAGGAGTTGGAGAAGAGTTCAGGAGAGGCTTACATAAAATAATGTTTCTGAAGGACATTCGGTCAGACCATTAAACTTTTAACCTGGTGAACCAGGCCTAGTTGAACTTCCAGCACAGAAAGAGAAAATGGGTCAACATAATACAGCTCGGACTTCTGAATTGCTCTCATAATTTATAACTTGGGTCACGCTGTACTGTACAGTACAATAATCATACACGTGTGTATTTACATAAGTAAATGCTGACCAATCAATCAATCAATCAGGTAGACATAGGTCTATTATTATTATTATTTTTTTCAGTCCATGCAATAGATGGTTTGTTATACCAGCCCTAACTAGCTTGGTCAAAATGACCATAAATGTTCAGCAAAGTGTGCCCCCCCCAAAAAAAACACCATTCAAGTTCACTAAATGTCAAGGCTGCAACTGTTAAATGAAATGTTTCATATAAGCTCATACAAGTTTGATGACTAATGACCATAATCCATCAGAACAGTTTTAAAAAGTGTCCACCTTTACCTTACAGCCAGTATTACAACATATCCTTACTTATAACGGTACATACCTTATTCAATAATAATAATAAAAAAAAAAATCCATATAAGTTTTAAGTAGATGATTTCTATTCTGTTAGATGTTTAAGTGTGATGATCCACTATTATGATGTCAGATAAATTAAAACACTTCCAGAATGACAGTGTCCTTGTGCAATTATTAATTTTATTGTATTTAATTACAATTTTTAAAGGGCAGTTGGTCATAATAATCATTTGTCCCACATTTGCTGAACTCACCCTATGTTATACATATGTTTAATGGAATACTCGGTGATACTGACAGCTGATAAATATTTTCACTGCTCTTTATTACAAGGCGTTGCACTGTGTAAAGCTGCCACCTAGTGTAAAGAACAACACAAACAAAGCAGGATGCATGCACTAAAATCTTTGATGAGCCTTATATATTATTTACTCATTATTCTTCATTTCATAGTGTCTTATCTCTGTATAATATTCTCTCCATAATATTTGGGAGCGCTATGTCGCGTTACAATCATTTGGTGAGGCACAATAGTTGAACCAAAGTGCTCGGCGGGTCTCGGTTGCCAGGCAACGAGGACGCGTATCCCTGGTGACCAAAACATTGTAGTGTGTGTTGTTAAAGCAAAACACGGATACTCTGTGTGCTACAGTTCACTAAATACAAAACAACAACATCTTGCTGGGTTTAAGAGAGGAACGACAAACGACCACAATGGAGGTATGTTGATCTGACACTTTTGCCGCACTGTGTGGAGTGACATAACCACTACTAGATCTTAGAATGAGACACAGCTAAAATTTAGTGTTTGAAATGCTAATGACTAAATTAACGTTAGTTATTAGCATTTCAAACACTACATTTTTGCTGTGGTCCCAGTGAAATATCTTCAATATTTATTACATTGATTACACTATATCCTGAAGCATTTCAGTATTTCGAGTTGTTACAGTAAAGTGAAGAGTCACGTTTTTAAAGTAGTCTACAGTCTATGCTAGATGAAATAGCTGAAATATAGTCTAAATATAGTTGTATTTTATATTCTAAAAGATAAAATACGAAAAAAACAAACAAATAAAAAAATGTACGTTTTATGGAACCTCGTTTTATAAGCCTTTACCAGTCTGATAAGGTGATTTTTTTGTGTGAAGTAGGCTACATTTTGTACGATTGTCAACATTGTTGTATACATTAACAACTTGGTTTATGGTTTCTAAATACAGATAGTGGGACAGATATTTGTAATTCTATTTGAAACAACATAATGGAAAATTATCAGAAAGTGTCCCATTTGAACTGTATTCATTATTTGCTATTTATCCTTTTAATAACACAAGGATAAAAGCATTTATTTATTTATACAGCAGAAATTGCAAATTGAAAGCAACAGTTCTTTTACTTTTTTCTCACTAATTATTTATTTTCTGCCAAAAGATGCCTTAGGCTTTTTCACCCCATCAATCTTTTGTAAATCTTGTAATTGCTGAGAGATCTGAAATAATGATTTGAAGGAACGATTGACCGCAATCGATAAACTGTATATTTAGATGGATTAGACAAAGCTTCAGTGCATGATTCCTTTCATTTTTTTCTGTGATTTTTCTGCAGTGAAATCTCCAACAGCTGTATTAAAACCAGCACCTTCTGCCTCCTCTTTGTTTTTTTGTGTTTGATCATATATTTCAGTATGTCATCAGCAGTGCTACTGTAGACTTGCAAACTGTTACAAATCTGCCAGACTCTCTTCAACATTTACACTGTCAGCATAGGTCCTAAGTTATCAGGCATCATCTTATAATATCACTTACTGTACATTTTCTGATTTTCAGACTGAGGAAAGCACCTTTGAAGCATTGGAAAAAGACATCCAGGAGGTTTTAAATGAGTTATTAGGAGATGAAAAGTTCGAGAAGTTCCGTGTGGAATATGAGAAGATCGCCAAAGCTCTGCGGAAGTCCCACGAGAACGAAAAGAGACTGATGTCCAAATGCAGGGAGCTGAACGCAGAGATAATGTCCAACACCGTCAAAGTATCCACAGCCATGAAACTAGAAAGTTTTTAGGAAATTTTTATTCTAGAAGTGAACTAATCCTTTAACTTGGCCCAACTATCATGAAGATGGATCATCAACATGTCCAGTCAACTACTGTACTGTACTGTAGCTAACTTGGACCAGCTAAAAACCACATTCCATAATATAGCTACTAGTTCAAGTTTGATTTTCGAGTAGTACAAATCTAATACATTATAATACATTTATGCATTTGACTGACTCTTTTTTTTTTCCTAAGTAATTTTTGCCGGGAATCGAACCCATGACCAGTAGCGTGTTTATAGGTTCCCACAAAATTTCGTGATTTCTACCCCCATCCAAACACTAACCCCCCACCCCCGAAACGAGATTTCTACCGAGGGGGACCCCCAGGGAGCACTTGCTTAGAGCCCCCAAAACTCTAAAAACGCTCCTGCCCACGACCTTGGCTTCATGCTCTACTGTTTGAACTACAGAAAGAGTAGAATAAAATCCAAATAACAAAGTACTAACCTTTATGTGAGTTTGGAAGTCTTTGAAATCTGTTCTGCTGTCCCCTGTGCAGTGCTCTGATCCCGGACACACTGTTGCCCATGACTGCTGCTGCTGCTGATGATCTCCAAATGTTGTACTTCGAGCGTCAGGCTCTAATAACTCTCCCTTATCGTGCCTCTCTTGATCTGTTGTTGCTATTATGTCCGTGACAAGTCGGGTGCGAACCGACTACAGATCCACAAGTTTTTCTCTGCTCGATGAACTGTCATTGAAAAACATGAGCAGCCCAAACGCGCTCAAGCTGCAGGTGGGAAGACGCGCGTTTGCGCGTTGGGAAAACGCAAAAAAAAAAAGGCGGTTTGAGGGAGGTTTGCATTGAACGAAATCGGATAATTTAAGTAGGTAGGTCAGCTCAATTTGATTTGCTAACTTTTCTTCCCTCAGATATTTGTTTTGTTATCCTGCTCTGGTGAATTTTTGACGCACGCCGTTATCGGGGATTTAACGCGCATCTGTCGCGCCTGCTTCTACTTTAGATTAGATCAAATATACTGCCTCAACTATCAGCATAATGTATCCTCGTAAGTATATAATCCACTCACCTATGCAATTTGGCTACTACTGGATGCTTTCGTTTAAATACTAGGGAAGCCAACCAATCAAAACTTCTGTATATGAACACTATTTGGAGATCTTTAAAAGCTCAGGTGCAGACGCACGAACTGATGACAATGTGTCACTTATTGGCGTCAGTGACTCAACATTGCTTCAGGAAAATACGAACATAACATACAAGTGAGATCCAGAACAGGGAACAGCCAAAACACGCCGTAATAGTCACTCAAAGTTACACATTTCACAGTCTTCTTCGTTTAAGCTGTTAAGTATTGATGGACGTTAATATGGAATGTGTCTAAAATTAGAAACAAATAATCAATAATAATAGAAATAATAATAATAATAAAACAATAGTAGCAGAGCTTGTTAATAAACCTTTTTGAATTTGTCTAGCATGGGCGATCTGTTAAAGCTCAAAGAGGACCTGACCAAGCAGAGAGACAAGCTGCAGTCAGAGGTGATGACACTCCGGGAGAACCTCACTAAAACCACTGATGCTCAGCAGGAGATAGAGGCTGAGAAGAACAAAGCGATGGACACAATTGCTCAGGTATAACATAAAAAAAATGTCCAACACCGTCAAAGTATCCACAGCCATGAAACTAGCTGATGAAGATCAAGCCACAATCACCTCTCTTAAAATGGTACATTAGCCTGAAATTACTGCACTCTAAAATGGATGTTGTGCTCATTGTGTCTTCAGAAGTAAACATGATGTCCTCATATTAGACTTAATTTGCCACATTATTTGCCCTAGCAAATTATCTGTTTATTGTACTGTTGATTAGGAAATTGACAAGGCTTGGAAAATGGTTGAAGCTTCACATGCAAAGGAGTTGCAGGCAAAAGAAACAATCCAGAAACTAAAGGAGGAAATAACCTGTCTCAACAAGCTCATTGAAAAAGGAGCTGGGGTCTCTGAGGGCCAAGAATACAGGTGAACAATATACAACTTTATGTTCAGTCTATTCTCTGTTTTTCTTTTGATTCTGGTAGAATAGAGGCAGTTACACGCGTTTTTATCTTACAGATAGGTTTTCTTTTTTAAAATGTATTTCACCTTTTTGAGGTGTTCTCGTGAGGATGAAGAGCAGAGCTTGTTAATAAACCTTTTTGAATTTGTCTAGCATGGGCGATCTGTTAAAGCTCAAAGAGGACCTGACCAAGCAGAGAGACAAGCTGCAGTCAGAGGTGATGACACTCCGGGAGAACCTCACTAAAACCACTGATGCTCAGCAGGAGATAGAGGCTGAGAAGAACAAAGCGATGGACACAATTGCTCAGGTATAACATAAAAAAACGTTGTCACTCTTAAAAATAAAGGTGCTTCATGATGCCATAGAAGAACCTTTTTGTCTAAATGGTTCCATAAAGAACCTTTAACATCTGAAGAACCTTTCTGTTTCACAAAAGTTACTTTGTGGCAAAAGAAGGTTCTTCCGATTATAAAAAGGTAAGAAAGAGATGGTTCTTTAAAGAACCTTTGACTGAATGGTTCTTTGTGGAACCAAAAATGGTTCTTCAATGGC